CTTCATTCCAGCACACCCGGAGGCAGAACTGAAGCTGTTGGAACAGGTCTCTGGTGACCCAGGTGTCTCAATTGAGGCCCTGCTGTGAGCCACATGGAACCGTGCCCTCCTTTTGGTCAGGGAGCTCTTAGAAAACTGTGACACGAAAGACACTCCTCCTGTAAAGTGTTGTCCTGCAAGCGTGCGCGTACACATACCAGTTGACAGTGGTGCTGCACACATGTCAATGTCCCATAACTGAGATCTGAGCAAATTTAAATGCCACTTGTTCCCTTCAGATGTGTGCAACATAGGGTGTAAAAATGCTAGCAATAGACTAAGAGCCAGGGAATTAGAGAAGGGGAGGTGGCGGTCAGGTCTTCCTGGCTCTGCACTCCTGCAGCGGGTTCCGCTTTCCCACACCCCTGCCGCAACTGAGAACTGCAGTGCAGGTCCACGCACATGGAGGACACGGCGCGGAGGAGGGCACCTGACTGCACAGTGGCTCCAATCATGCCCTTCGCACCTTTGCCTCACACAGCTGGAATCTCAAGTCCGGCAATATCTGATAGCCTTTCTACCAGATTCTTATCTTTCAGCTACTTCTCTTTCTCCTGAGCCATAAATTGTAGGAAGAGAAAAGGGAGAGAAGCTTAATTTTCTGATTCATTCAAGGCAGATTACCGAGATCCCATGACTAATGTGCCAACATGAACGAGTGAGGAACCTGGCTTGGGCTGCAGTCCTGGCTCCATTCACCTTTCTTGTCAGGAGCTTTGGGCAAAGATGAACACTCTACCCCTAATTCTTCATCCATAAATGGGAACATTGCACCTGTCTTCAGGACTCTAGTATCTATTATACAAGATGATGTATACAAAGTAAACAGTAAAGTCTCCGGCACATAGTAAGTGCCTAACACTCGGCAATGCCTTATTTCTAAACTGTTATTTCTGTCTGTGTTTCCCCACTCGCTCACCCCCTATGGTGACAAATACGAGGCTAATTCCAATGGACTTTAAAGCCTGCCCCCAATGCCTTGACTGCTCCTGGACTGCTTCTGGGCAGCAGAACTCTCCAGGAGCATCAGTGGGGTTGGCTACCGGCGAGAAAACATCTGGCCAATTTACAAGGGTCTTTGGCCAATGCTGGACAGGCTCGGACTCAGGTCTCTTACCCCTGTGTCTCCCTGTGTGAGTGGTAGGGGCTTCCAGTCACTTCTAGCCCAACCCCTGTGAGTTTACTTGTCTCCAAGTGTGTTCTGGCTATAGCTATCTTCCAGATACCGTGTAAACTGGGACCACAGGGAGAGCTTGTTAACCAAACTGTTACCATAAACTCTACTCAAGCACAGGCTACAATCTCCTAACTCTATACAGTACTGCTAGGTATTCATACTTATCTTCTGTTCAAAAGGTTCCCAGGTCAAATAGGTTTGGAGAACGGTATCAATCTGAGCACATTCCCACACCCTACGTTTTGAACAGTCAGTAGAACTGTGCAGTGTAACTGCTTACCTTCATGCATGTCTCTGGTATATTCAGCTATGGAAAGAGCTCCTAAGACTGTCACTTGCAGCAAGGAGGACCGTGACCACGCAGGGTCTTGAGAGACTGTGTACTGAGGAGCAACAGCGCCTCCCGAGAAGTCAGATTCCTTCCTTGGCTGTCTGTGGCCCCCACTCCCTCCATGATGGCTGACGTGTTGGCCTCAGGGGCCTCCTCTCCCATCCTCCTGAGCATGGACAGACGGGCTGTGCAAAGCTCAATGAAACCGTTCAGACGATGAAAACATTTTAGATGTCTGAACTGCAGTCTACCTACATGAGAAATGCAAATTCTTCTGAACTTTTATTTGGGTAAATTAAGCTTATATAGCCATTTTACACTGTAGTCATTATTATTTTTTCCTGCAAAATGCAGTACTGTTTGCAGATGTTAATTATAGAATCTGAACTTTGTGGGAGTGCAAGGTAAAATTTATTCAGTTATTTTATACATTTAAAAATGTTTATAATAAAACCATTAGAAAAGATGTAACTCCCTATAACTTGCTTCTTCTGAAGGGATAGTATAATTTAATACAGGTTTTATATTCTTTCTTTATTTCAAGTTGAAATACATTTTATCTATTTAAATAATTTTTAAAGCTTTTTGATCTAGTAAGCAGGACTATAAATGGATGTTAATGAATTGAAATTAGCAACAGGAAATGACTGTGTAAGTTATAAAAATGTTTACAAGACAGAGAGGTAGGCTCTCATCATGTATGGCCAACACATCAGTGCTAATTTTTTACAGGCTTGTTTTATATCCTATTCAAAGATGGGTAAACTGAGATATATAGACCTGTGCAGCTGAGCAATTCACTGGGATGGCTGGGACCCTCGCACCCTATCTCACAGCATAAAGGACAAACGTTCTGTTCTCCATCAGGGAAATCCATTTATAAGTAGAGGGTACACACGTTACTTCATCTGAGGTGTCTGAACATTTCTGTGTTAAATGAGCAGGACTGTATGATGAAGATGTGTGTGAGTGAGTTGTTCTTATGGCTTGTTTGTTGCACTTGGGAACAGCTCTCCATCCTCAGGCTGCTTACCCTTCAGGATGCCCATGTGTTTTAAAACAAGCAATGCCTGGCCTTTTTCAGTTTTATGATTCCTAACTTTCATTTTGACTACAAACTTAATTTTAGCTGGACACCTCTGAAGTAGCCTCATTTTAATATATTTAGAATTGCAAAGAACTTAGTATTTCTTTACATGGAGAGTAGCAAACTATGCATTCTTACTTAATAATGGTTCCTTTTCAGAAATTTAGTCTGTTTTCAGAACACATAAATGAGAACTATAAAACGCTTCTTACATCATCAACATATGTTACTGTTAGAATCCCAGGAGAATCCTTAATATACAAAACCCACTTGTCTCCTGGAACAAGGCAAGTCTTGGTTGTCAAGGAGAATGCCTTAACTCTGTGTGTGTGTGTGTGTGTGTGTGTGTGTGTGTGCATCCATGGAATGTGACAATTTCACAACTTTATTAAAAGGCCCAACCACCTTGATCTTGGGGATATTCCCTCATCTCTGGGTGTTCTGTACCGACACCATTTGGCCAAGCAGTCATAAAAAATGACTTCATTCAGGATACATTTTTTAAAGTATTTAAGGCAAACTGTTTGTAAAATATTTTCATTTTATAGGAACACAGATGTGGACCCTTTGTGCCTCAGCCTGGGCTGTATCCTGAGCAGTGGCAAGCTTGGCCTGGGTGAATGAGATGGCAGTACCGTGTACTTCTTTCTGGTCCACAGGAAGTTTACTGCCCACCTCATTATTTACTAGTCTCATTCCCATTTATTGTATGTTTTTGGTCTATTTAAAATATGTTATCTTGCCTCCTGACTGCAAAAACTCGTACACATTCATTTTAAAAATCTAGAAAACATACAGAAGAAAATAAAACATAACAGCAACAGGCACCATCCGCCCACACATGGGGCAGCAGTTCTCTCACTATTAAATCTCAGACGTCTGAGTTCTACACTTCTCTTATGCTCAGGTCGAACAAAATAAAATAAAATAAAACTGAATGAAATTTAATCTGTTTGGTTCCCAACTAGGGAAAGACTCTAGATAGAGGAAAGTGAGATACAGAATCTAGAGAAGAGCCTGGATAAAGCTGTCCATGTAGCTGTAAGCACACCCTGACTGCTCGTAGGCTGCACACCACAGTGGTACACTGAGAAAGCAAGCTTTATATTTTTGTAAAAACTATCTTCTATTTTTAAGTACCAAAGGCCATTTAAATTAAACAAGAAAGTTTATATTCAACACGTCTCCTTTCTCCTATTTTCTTGTAATGTCTATGAGTATGGACCTATATACTTTTTAACATTCTTGAAATATATCTAAAGACTACTGCTATAAAGGGGTTCTTTGTAATTATAGGTTTGCAGTTCAAGTGATCAAAATATTGTGTTGCTGAATGTTTTAAATCAGAACTAGTTTTTCTTCCACAATATACAATATTAGGTGTTTAAGCTACACACATTTTTAGTTGTTATAAACAAAAATAAAGCCAGGGTGAAGCTGACCTCTGTGTTAGCAAGTGAACTCTGTGTTTGCTTTCTTTTGTAAAAGTTCGCGTTTCTTTTTGAATAGCATTAATGCACAAGGAAGTCAGATCTGGTTTCCCAGATAAGAACCCTTCAAGACAGAAGAGGCTCCTGAGCACAGGAAATCTGTGAGCCCCAGAAGGAGGACACACACCTCCAGAGAATTTCCTCACTCATTCATGTCTGGTCACAGAACTGACAAGGAAATACAAAACCTCATGAACTGGGGCAAAGGGAAATACAATCATGTGATTTTAAAAAAGAAAAATCACACCATACAACATAACTTGGAAACCCAAATTCAAAAGTAACTGTGTAGAAATCCTCAGGGCAAAAGTCTGAATCCCTTTCCCCCTGGCCCAACTTCTGCGTGACTGTGTCAGTAACATCTCCACTGAGAGGATGAACTCCGGGGACCCAGGGATGAGGGGTGTGGGCTGCAGACTGAACATGAAAAATTGAGTTTCCTAAGAATTTTGTGGAATAAGGCGAATTTAAGGTCTTACTTTACACAAATTGAGAGTCCATTATTCCTCGATGGTCACCACTGATTGTGCCTGCATGGGTGGCAGGGAAAGAGCAGGTGGAGCAAGGGGAAAAGTGCCAGCAAGTGAAGAAGAGCGACGCTCTAACATTTTCCATCTGCTGACCCACCCACCATCCAAACGCTGACCAGCACCCGTGCTTTAACTAAATAAAAGACAATTTGTGAACGATTTCCTCATTCAAACAACAGTCAGTGTAAGCAATATATATGTGCTCCCGAGCCACCCAGCCTTATACTGAATCCAGCAGGAGTTTATAAACAGGCGTGTGTGAGAAGCATGTGCCTCGCCACCTCCAGGTCATGCCTTTCACCCACAGGCATGGCATTGCGACAGAGGCCGACAGGACAGTGCCTACCTCCACGTAGTCCTTAGCATGGCCCCAGTCTCGTTTGGCATCCAGATTTCCCAAACTGAAGCAATCCAGTTGTCCCAGGTAAATCTTAGCTACCGACCGGCTAATTTTTCGAGTAACAAAATTAGCTCCTAAAAAAGAGACAAAAGATGTATTATCAGTGGAGCACATTCTGACATTTAACAGTTTGGTGAACCAAATCCAGTATTAGCCTCTGGGCATTTCTTTCATTCTCCTTCCCCTCCCCTTAAAATAATAAAAGAAAAGAAGAAGAGAAAAGATCATTAACTGTCATTTAGACAAGTTAAGAAGCTCTAATTCTAAGTGTCACATCAGCTCTACTTTCATAACAAACATTTTTTCTTTGGGGGACATCTTAACATTCCTAATTTGCTGCTTCAGTATGCAACCCAGGCAGTAGGCCAAAGAAAAGCTATTGGAATGCCAGTTTTTAAACAGAAAAGTCTAGAGGGCTGAATAAAGGGAAATGCCAGAATGGAAGGCGTACATCTAAGACCACCCTGATTTTTTTTAAGAACACAAACATCATATATTCCTATTAAAAAGGCTAGTTGGGGGGCCATGGGAAGCACGGAGAAAAGCAACTTAGTTCACAGGGTATAACTAGCTAAAGGAAACGAAATAGAAATGTATGCCTTAAGTGGCAGTCACTCTTATTTAGAAACCTGTACAGCCAACTTCATGTAAAACATGACATGGTCTCAAGTCAAAAGTTTCTCTGTACTGTATTTATTGCAATGCCATTTTCCAATATCATGTAAATGTTATATCTACAGAAATGGGATCATATATTTTATACAAATATTTTGAAATGACTGGATGAATGATACTATAAATTGAAGAAAGTATTTCAATCACTTTAATGTCCTCTGGTTTTTAAGGAAAGTCTATTTTATTTTTATTTTAGAGATGGGTCTCAAACTACTGGACCCAAGGGATACCCTTGCCTCAACCTCCTAGGACTACAGACACATATCTGGCTTTTCTCAACACAGAAGATCACAAAGAAGCTTTTAATCTGAATCCCTGTATGTAGGCAACCTTTTCAAAGAACATTATTTAATGCTGAATTCTCAAAGTAGTGATATATGTGTGAGCTCATTCATAATGGATTCATACAATTCAGAAAAATTAATATCCTGGTTTACCACATCAGTAACTTTACCTTTGTTCTTTTGCAGGTGAAGCAGGAGGCGAATATGATGAAAGATTTTGGTTTCTTGAGAAACCAGGACAGGAATAAGGGGAGTATTTCTAAATAGGGTTTCTAAATTTTGTCACAAATGTGTCCTACACAAGTTCAAGCATATACTAGACTTTCTATGCCAACTTTAGGTATGCATACTTATACCAATGCCATGTCTTTAAAAATATAATAAGACTGCCACGGCAATCCAAATATTTAATTTCCATTAGCAATTCATAGGTTTCATGAAAAACTGAAATTCCAACTTTCCAAAGCAGTTTATGAAGCACACAGGGATCCTTCAGGAAAGTCTTTTAAAATGAAGACACATTTATTAGACACAATTCTAAACCTATGACTAGTCAACAAAATTTTACTTTATATTTTCTATTGACTTGGGATAATTACATTTAATAATTTTATAATTAAATTTAGGTCTTCTGATATTTGTCTTTACTCCAATATCAGGATAATACTATCAGTGCAAAACACAGAAGGTACACTAGGGATGCTAAATTATTAGACCATGTTCCCAATACAAAACGGGTTCAACGTGGCTGTTTACTAGTAAACAATGTGCGGGAGTCTAAGAGAAGTCTCTGACCTTGTAGAACTCATTTCTTCTAACAAGCAAGACTGCCCGAGTGCCTGCCCTGCACAAGTTCTGCACTGGGCACTGCCATCTGGGGACAAAGGAGCAACAACTGCTGCCAGGTAGCATGGAGAGTGGAAGAGGAGCTAGCACACCCATCATGCTGACCAACTTTATCACTCTTGTGTTTCTATCTAGACCACTGATCCATTTTTAACTAACTTTTAAATAGGGTATGATGAAAGGGTCCAATTGAATTCATTTCCATGTAGCTATCCAGCTAGCCTGGTACTATCTGATGAAATGGCTATTCTTTCCCCACTAAACAGTCTTGGCATCTCTGGTGAAAATCAGTCATAAATAGGAAAAATCAGTCATAAATAGGAGAGTTTATTTCAGACTTTGAATTCTGGTCTATCAATCTAATATGCTGATCACTGTGTCAGCAGAAGAGTCTTCATTACTATAGATTTGTGATAAGATTTAAATCAGAAAGTTTGAGCTTTCCAAATTTATTATTTTTAAAGCTATTTTGGCTATTCTTGCCTTTGCCTTTCAATATGAATTTGAGGGTCAGCTTTTTGGTATCTGTGAAAGCCCAGCTGCAGATGATACGGGGACAATTTCCAATCTAATGATTTTGTGCTTTCAGAGACATGAACACAGGATGCCTATTTACTCAGGTCTTTCAAAATTTCTTTCAGTAATGTTTAGCAGTGTCCAGGGAAATATTTTTATATACTTTTCTTGTTTAATTTGTTTCTAAATACTTTATTTGTTCTCACCTTGCAAACAAAACTGTATTCTATCACAATTAGAATTGAAAACAGGATTGAAAATAGAATTGTATTCTTAAACATTTTGCCTTGCAACCATGTGTTTCACTCGTTATTAGGAGAAGCTTAAAATGATTTTTCAAATATTTGCTCTCCTCATTTTTACTCCTCATCCCATAGGACTGCTGTTCAGGAGGGAACTGCATGACACCACAGAGTGTGAGGGCTTAAAGGTCACTCTTCCCCACCATCCCAAATACGCAGGTGGAGGCAGAGGGGCCTGGGAGCATTGTGTCTGCCCCTGGGCAGGACAAGTGTCCACACCTATCCCCAGCCTGTGTCCCTGTTTTCTAGTCCCTGCTGCCGGCCCCTCCTCTGAGGACATGGTCTTGGCAGCCAGGAGTCTCACCACACATGGACAATGGGCGCATGCACTTACTTACGTACAGACTAGATCTCTAAGGCTCCTTATCCAGGAAACCCAAGTAAGAAAGGGGACTAAGCCAAGTTAGTCCAGTGAGCTGAACAAAGACCACCTCTGTTATCTCTCCCAAATCACTGAACAGCTCTGAGGGTGTAGTCTCATCTGTAAACCACCCACAGATTAATCACTTACCATTCCAACTCTTTAAATATAGGATGACCAAACATTGACATTTTTTCATTAATCTGCAGGCGAAGTAAGATTCCAGGGTGCAGCCCGTGTGGATGGTGGGGAGTGAGCACAGAAGCCTCCTGTGGCCCGGCACCCACTTGGGGACATGGCAAGGTCTGCAGGCATCGTGCAGGAAGGAAGCTGACGCGCTGCACTAGTGATCCGCACCTGTGATTCTGTTACTTTTATCAGTGCTACCATGGCATGGAGGTGTCTGCAGCCCCCAGCTGTCCTGTCTATAGGGCGGATCACACTCTGCCCTGAGACCTGCAGGAGCGCCCACCTTGTTGGCGGCAGGACCAGGGCCCAGGCACAGCATATCATCCACTGGGTTGTACTTCTGCTGTCTTGGACTTGTGATAAATCTTTCAAAACAGCAAGTTTTCTTTTCTTCTCTTTTTTCTCTTTCAGTTCTCTTCACATGACTTTCCCCTCAGCAAATCCAAGCCTAGGGAAACACTGTTAGACATTCCCATTTATCCTACTAATTCCTTAAATTTTTTTAAAAAATATTTTTCACTTCTTTTCCGCTTTCTGAAATAATCTGGGCAATTTCCTTAGATCCATTTAGTTTTCCCCCAGATTAGAATGTAATCTAAAATTTAAGTTAATCTTTTTTTTTTTGCATAAAGTTTTCTTTGGTGGTTTTTAAATTCTACCTGGGCATTGTACTATTGTACTTTATTGTTGTTTGTTTGTTTTGTGTGGTTTATCATTTTATTTTCTTCAGTGTGCTTTAGCAATTTTATACTGTGAATTCCATAATTTAAACACCTGAAGTTCTTGGGGGAACCCTTCTTGCTTGTTCTTTCTGCTCACTTTGATGGTGGTTTGTTTCCTCCTGACTTGAGAGTTCATCACCACCTTCCCACTCTGCCGGAGAGCAGAGGACATTGATGAGAACAATGACTTCCCCCGCCAAGTGTTCATTTCTCCTGGAGGCTGGGGTTGCAAACCATCAGCCTCTCTGCCTGCCACATCGTCAGGATAACAAGGTGCTGCACTCCCACCTTCTGCCCTGAACTGACCAGAGGGGAGAGCATTCCCTGCTGGCCTGACAACAGCCTTGTGCTAAGTGAACATGACCGGCTACCACACTGGGAGTCATGAGCAAGACGACAGGCCTCGTGAAATCAAACACCACCCTGCCTCTGCATCGGGGGCTGATGTGAATCGCTGTGATCCAGTTTATTATTTTCATTTTGGAAATTCAAAACACTTGCTTTGTGCCTACTGTATGTGAAATACGTCTGCATAATGAGTATATGTATATAAAACTATGTTTAAAGCTAAATGTGTGTCTTTTGTGTTCATACTATTTCTCTGACTCACACACAATGATTTGTAATGATTTTTTTACATCTCAGGCAAACTATACTTTTTTCCTTACAAAGATTTGGGCCAGAAGATCTTGATTTTTGTGGTTCTACGCTTCATGCTGGCCTCACTTCCTGTGAAGACAGATGACCACGGCGGCTGTGAGGCATTGCCAGCACTGGCCCACCAGGAGGTGGCTCAGACACAGAGGCACAGTCCAGTTCCGACTTCCGGGCTTTATTCTGTCTAATCCTGACATTGCTATGCATGCGTGTGTGTGTGCATATGTGTGTTTGCGAGCACTGTATACACAGTCCTTGTTAATTTAAACTTGAGCCACAGTGTCAGCAGGCACACAACATCATATCCCTGCAGCCACAGACATTGTAAAACAAAAGATGAAGGGAAAGAACTGGCAACCTTTATAAAACATGTACCCTACATGCCAAGCATTAAATGAGACGCAACGGGATCGCCTTTATGATATGCACTACTTTTACCAAGATTTTCTTTACTTCTTTTTTTTTCTTTTTGAGACAAAATACAATACTGAGTATCTCAGTCTAATACAGTGCAAGTAGGGG